CAGTTTACCTATTCATCGGCAAACATACATACGAGACAAAATTAAATGATTCTGGAACGGAAAAAAATCTTAAAAAATTACAGTCATGCCCTTATTTTCAAAATTACCAAAATACTTTTATAAAAATTAGTTTTTTCCCCACTTTTCGCATTTGTTACCTTCTCATTCCGCCAACATTCCTATCAGAGAAAATCAAATGAGTCTGGAACAAAAAAAAATTCTTAAAAATTTGCCATCATGCACCTATTGTCATAATTACCAAAATACCCTTCTATAAAGTCATTTTTGGCACCACTTTTCACATTCSTTACCTTCTCATTCAACTAACATCCATACAAGAGAAAATCAAATGTTTCTAGAAAAAAAAAATCTTAAAAAATTATTGTCATGCCACTTGTTTCAAAATTACCAAAATACTCATAAGAAAAGTCGTTTTAATTATCTTTTTAATCTTTATGTTTTTTTTATTTCTTTCCTTGTTATAACAGGTCTACCATTCTACTATTTGAATATATCAAAATATTTTTACTCAATTGAATTTAACAGAAAATCATCTCTAAGAAGATAACACAAATTGCTTAAGTTGGAGATAATAAAGTTATGATAATGTATATCCAATTTGTGGATGACACTTTGCTTTGACAATGAGATTTAAAAGAATTGCATTTTAGTGTTAAAATTATTTTGGAAGAATCCCTTAGTTCCTCAAAGAATTTTAGAGTTGGTGCACTAATGTCAAATTTATTGAGTGTGCTTAGACTCCTCCCCTCCTACTCTCCCTGTATTTTCTCCCCCAAGAAAAAATTACAAATTTAGTCTCTTTATACGCTCTTTCATATTCTAGAAGGTTGTACTTGAAAAATAAAATGATAACCATGGATTCTAATATACGAGATCTTGTAGCACTTATCAATGAGGTCCTATCGATTAGTATTACGCAGAAGAAATCAATTATAAAAACTAATATAATTAGATCTTCTCTTTATAGACAAACTTAGGATTTGCGATCCCAAGTAAGATCGTTTCAAGATCATGGGATCCTTTTCTATATCACATAGGATGAGCTATGGCACAAAATGAATATTTATCTTATAAAATTATGTAACAAATTGGGTTCTTATTTATACAAATGGTACTTCAAACTTGGAACTAACATGAAGAAATTAACAACATTTCTTTATCTTTTGAATTGTAGTTTGGGCACAATTTAAACTTAAACAATCTCCTAGGCACCCAAAATTTTTTTTTTTTATCTTATTCTATTTTCTACTCAGACCATAAATTTTGATAGCTAAATAAACATAGAAAATCCCTATAAAGAAAAAAAAACTGTCAAAAGTAACAATAATTAACTTAATCTCAATTTATAGGGAGTCAATTCAAACATTTAGCATTGTAGAAATGAAACTCAAAGCATGCTAAATCGTGTTGGGATCGAGTCGGAGATAATTTGAATGTATTTTATAGATTTTACATTATTTAAAAATATTTACTTAAGGTAACACCATGCCACCAAGCTTGTGACGGCGCATAACCGCAGAGACGCCACGTGTAGAGGAAAACCTGCAAGCGAACCACACGCGTACAATTTATCCCACGCTTAGGCTTAGCCATTTGGATTTGGGAATTGGAATTGGAATTGGAATTTGGGGCAGACGGAAGAAGAAAGAAAGGAAAGTAAAAATGGCGGACCCGAAGACCCGACCGCAACTCGGCGGAGTAATGGCCGCCACCGACGCATGGCTCAGAAAGCACCGGCTCATCTACATCGAAGCCACTCGCCATCCTTTCGTCCTAACCATTCGCGACGGCACCATCGATTTCTCCGCCTTCTCTTCTTGGGTGGTAATTAATTAATTAAGCAACAAGAACGCACAACGATTCTCGATTCAGATTAGGCCCCAAACAGAACTTCCAAAACGATCGGATTTTCAGAGCGATTAGAATTCGAGTTCAATCTTTTGCAGGAACAGGAATGCGAATTTCTGCGATCCTTCGCGGCGTTCGTCGGGAGTGTGTTGGTGAAGGCATGGAAAGAATCGGACGACAGAGCGGACGAGGAGGTGATACTTGGAAGTTTGGCTTCTCTGAACGACGAAATCGGGTGGTTCAAGAAGGAAGCCCTAAAACGGGGGATGAATTTGAGTGAGATTGTTCCTCAAAAGGCAACCGCCGGCTACTCCAGGTACCGATCGAGATCTGCATCGCCATAATCACAGGCAAGATTTTGCTTCAAATTTTTTTCATGGATATTGATCGATATTCAGGTTTCTGGAGAGTCTGATGCGGCCGGAAGTGGAATATACGGTGGCGATTACGGCTCTTTGGGCGATGGAAGCCGTGTACCACGAGAGCTTTGCGTACTGCCTGGGAGATGGATCAAAAACGCCGCCGGAATTGAGAGAAGCGTGCGAGAGGTGGGGGAATGAAGGATTTGGAAAGTACTGCAATACCTTGAAGAACATTGCGGATCGGCGGATGGAGATGGCCGCCGGAGAAGTGGCGAAGAAAGCAGAAGTGGCGTTGTTGCGAGTTCTTGAATATGAGGTTGGGTTCTGGAATATGAACCGCAGGGATCCAGTTCCGCTCCCACAATGCACCGTTCCGGTGGCCGGAGCCACCTCTGCGGGCTGAACAAAAGAAAATTTTAGGGTTTTTAAAATTTTGTATGAGACGTTTATATCAAAAGTGGCTGTAGTTTAGTGGTGAGAATTCCACGTTGTGGCCGTGGAGACCTGGGCTCGAATCCCAGCAGCCACATTTTTGTGCTTCAGATCTTATTTATTCATATAACGATTGCAGCAGTTTGCACTAAGCAAAGAAAGCAAAACAAAAATTCACTGCAAAAGACGTGAAATTTTGCCCATGATTATTTTATTGTAATGATAATATGCATGCTTAGATATTTGGATTAGGCTCAATTACAAAAATACTTTTAAATTTAAAAAATATCTCCATCTTTTCAAAAGTAGACCTTCCAAAGATGTAGTTAACGAGTCTGGATTTCTATGGTCTATTCAATTTTTGTCCCATTTCACTACGTCGAAATGTTTGTGAAAAGTTAATAATACCAATGAAATGTTTGTAAAACGTTACTATTTCAGTGAAAAGTAAAGAATTAGTAGTGAAACTTTAGAATAGTATTTTCTAAACAGAGCCGACTTTTTTTTTTTTTTTGGTTGAATTGGCAGAAGAGATCATTTTGAGGCAGAATAATTATGTGCAAAGCTCAACAATTATTTATACAGGAATTGCCTACAACAATACATAACGATCAAACCAAATGATGTCCCCTCCATTAGGATGAAGCACAAATATTATACGACATTGTTTGCCTGAAAATGTGTAGAAACTGCGCCCTGCAATTGGCTGCGGTGACTGGTGAGACAAACAAGGGCAACACCACCATTAAAGCGTTACCTAAATTCATTCAAAATGCAATATCCTCGCATCAACCAACATCGGCATCCGTAGAAACATAAAATTTGAAGTATCAACAATTTATACATCCACAACAATTTATAGGAGAGCAAAGGAAAATGATACTACGCTCAATTAGAAAAGCCCAAACTTCAGATTACTCGATACCAACTCTATCAAGAGCGTCCCTAGTTGTGGCTAAACGACTGATGGATGAAACTGAATGAACTCAAATCTCTCTAATATGACTCTTCTAATACGCTTTGCTTCGCTTCACTCGATTGATTACCTTAGCGCCTTCTACTGTGCCTTCTGCTCTTCCTCTTACTACGCTCGTCATCAGAATCAGATTCTGATTCAGATCCTGAGTCTGAATCAGAAGATTCGGAAGACGAGCTGTACCTCCTCTTTCTCCTCCCCTTCTTTTGCTTCTTTCTCCTCCTTCGACTCCTCCTTTCTGACTCTGATTCAGATGAAGAGCTGTAATCTGAACTGCTTCCTTCTGAAGAATCATCAGATCCAGTAACTGATGATGACCCACTATCAGTCTCGAAAACAGAGGCCTCGCTGTCGCTACCGGATTTTGCATTTGAACGATGCTTTCTTTTGCTTTTCTTCGAATGCTTCTCGGTCTTCTTCTTCTCCTTACCAGAATCTGGGTTGTCCAACTCATATGATTCTGACATCTTCATCCTCAACTTCGGGTTTTTTAGTTGTTGAGTTCGAGATGGTCGGGATATGTAGACTCGTTCATTTTTGCATTCGTAAGTCCAGTGTCCCACCTGATAACATTTCTGGCATTGTGCAGCAGCTCCACCAGCACTAGACATGGAGGCCTTAAGGTCCTTTCTTTCACCCAATCTGACTGCCTTTTCAGTACTCATCAAATACATCTGCCTCTTCGCTTCCCTCTTCTCTTGCCATCTGCTAGGGCCCTCTTCCTTCTGCCCATAAGCATTAACGTTTCGAGCCGCAGCGGCTGCTGCTCGTTCGGCCTGGGCACGACTAAGGCCTTTTGCAGCACTAAGAGCTGCAGCCTTAATCCTTTCAGCAGCAGCTTGCGACTTCTCTTCCTTCTTACTAGACATGCTTTGGTTTCAATATCTAAATCCAAGTACAGTGCCGGCGGGGGGCAACAGGAAAATGAAGCATAAGATCGTAATAGATTCCCAAATTAAGAACAAATAAAAAAAGTACGGAAAGAGAAGATAACAAAATTAACGGAGCGGGGAGTATAACTATTAGGTTTCCTTCTTATAAGACATGCTGTAGATTTAATATCTGAATGTAAATACAAACACCGAAAAGAAATTGAAAGAACAAGATAGCAACAAAACCCCAAAGAAAAAAGAAAAGATTATAGCAGGAAGTATTAGGGTTTTCTACCAGTTACCATGAAAGGCGATGAAATAGAAGAAAATCAGATCAAATTTTAGCTTGAACGACTTCAACCCAGAAACTTCTAATGTTACCGGTTGGAAGATCGTGAGATCGTGATTGAAAGGAAACACAGACTTCTAAAGATCTGGTTCGTAAACCAAAGAGGAAATCGAAAAATCAAGTCCAATTACGCAACATTTGCAACCAATAAACCCTTAAAATCAGTCGAAGGTACAAGAATCGCAATTAGAAAATACCGTGGGGATGGAAGATGCAGCGGAAGCAAGTTCTTGAAGGAAGAAAGGCGGATCGCAGCAGAAGCCGATCTCGAACGGAACACAAAGGCCCAGCAGAAGAAATATCGTGATAGAATAGAGCGGAATAGAAGGAGTGGTGGGTTCTTAAAAAACCGCCGGTTTTTTTCCGTCTTTGTAAGGTACAAGTACATCCAATTTCCTTCCAATTTCCTTACTCTTTTCTTTGCCTCTTTGGTTTTTATTTTTATTTTTTTCATGTACTTCCCCCTTATTATGTTTTTATTCGTTTTAGTATGATATTTTTATTTATTTATTTATTTTAGTCATTCTACAAACATACGAAAATTTTATTTTAATTTATGTACTCCGAAAAAACATTTTAGTTTTTCTTTTTTCATTTTCATCAAAATTTAGTAGGACATTCGAAGCAACAGGTAATTGATTAAGTGGGGAACCGATTTGGTTTCGTGCAACTCATCTACTCCTCTTCAAGCCTAAAAACGCTCTTGATCTTCAGTCAATTTCCGACCGCTTTGACACCACAACCTGTGTGAAGTTTTCATCAACATCAATCAGAAAAACACTACTCTCCATAGCTGGCACTCGAGGAACCATAGGACACGATTCTCTAACAAGAAATTTATTAGATTTTGGAAATGACTTATACTACCCCGCCCCAAACCCCCTCCCTTCTTTTCAATCCTGTGGACGTTCAAGCCCTTTTCCTCAATCATGTATTGATCCGCAACTTATTCTCCTTTGTCGTAACTCTCTTTCAAATAAAAGACGTTAGCAGACGTTTGAAAGCGAGATCATACC